TAAAAGAAATTTTTCAGAGTAAATACAGGTGAGACTAGTTCTCCTTTTTTTGTGTATCTTTTTGAGACAGAGTCTTGCTGTACAGTTCAGATTGGCCTTGGGCTCTAACTTGCAAGCGATTCTCTTGCCTCAGCCTCCCAATTGCTGGTATTACAGGAGTAAATTTACCTTTTTAAAAATACAGTATTTGTACCTGGATGTGGTGGCACATGCGTGTCACCCCAGCACTCAAGAGGCTGAAGCAGGAGGTTTGCTATGAGTTTCAGGCCAACCTAGACTATGTAGTGAGTTCAAGCCAGCCTGAACTACATAGCAAGACCCTGTCACAAAAATAAATAAATAGAGTGTGTAGAAAATTTCTGCTTCTAGACAAAAAAAAAAAAAAATGGGGCTGGGGATTTAGCTCAGCGGCATAAGGACCTGCCTTGCAAGCAGGTGGTCGTGAGTTCGATCCCTGGTACCGGTAAAAAGGAAAAAGACAAAAAAAAAAAAAAAAAGAAAAAAGAAAAAAGAAAATTTCTGCTTCCAACATCATTATCAAAAGTCATAGGGGCTGGGGATTTAACTCAGTGGCATAAGTGCCTGCCTTGCAAGCAGGCAGTCATGAGTTCGATCCCTGGTACCGATAAAAACGAAAAAGACAAAAAAAAAAAAAAGTCATAAATGTTACTCTGTATTCAGCATTTACTGTGTGGCAGGCATTGTTCTGTAAATTATACTAAAGCATTAAATTCACACATGAACCCTGTGAGGTAGGTAATATAATCCTTAGTTGACAGAGAATGAATCTGGGGTATGGATTGGTTATTAACTTGCCCAGGGTCACAGAGCTAAGTTTAAAGCAGGATAAATGACAGTATACTTTATATTTTATATATGGTAAAAACTAATTTTTAAGCTTTAAACATTAGAATGAGCCATGCATGGAGGTGCGTGCCTGTAATCCAGCACTTAGAAGGCTGAGGCAGGAGGGTTACTGCAAGTTCGAGGCCAGCCTGGGCTACAAAGTGTGTTCAAAGCCAGCCTGAATTGCATAGTGAGACCCTGTCTCAAAAAGACCCCCCCAAGACAAAAAACATCAAAAAACCACATTAGAATGTAAGCTTTAATAGGACAAGGAGTTTTTATTCGCTAGCATTTGAGATTATCTTCTGGTATATGGTAGAACTGCTTTAACTTAATTTTTTTCATGTTGAAAATTAAATATAGTGCTTCATGTATTCCAAGCTTGAGCTATACTACTTAGACTCCCAGCTAAAACTGCTTAAAATTCTGTACTACTGTTTCTTATGCACATTCTTTTATCTCATCCAGCTTATCTTCCGCATGACTTGTACTGTGTTTTTGTTTTGTTTTGCTTTTTGTACTGGGAGTTGAACCATTGCATTAAACAGCCATCCTTAATGCCTTTTGTTTGGATGGGATCTTGCTAAATTACTAGAGCTGGGCTCAAACCTAGAATCTTTATGCCTAGCGGTTTGGGTAGCTGGGATTATAGGTATGTGCCACTGTACCCAGATGTTTGTTTTATATTAATGAAATAGTTTATATAAAAATTGTTAGGCTATACAGCTTCCATTTGTCTTTTGCTACTATGCAATAGAAATGCTTTGGTGATCTAAAAAAAATATCAGCGTAAACAAGGCTAATAGAATTCCTACTATGTGCTTATCTGATTTAGAAAAAAATCTAGGAAAAAAACCCAGCTTGGTAATTATCTTCACAAAAAAATACCATAACAATTATTCAAGGTTTCACCCCAAAACTTTAGCCTCCTTGGTTTGTTGTAGTCATTCAAATGAATCACATACTGTTTTCTTTATTTTTTAAAATTACAGTTCCATTTTTAAGACTTGGCAATAGAACTGTGGAATGTTTTATAACATACTTCTTTGAAATCAAAGGTTTTGTAGTGATGTTAGGCAAAGACTGTGTAACTTGTATCTAGGACACTCATTTAATTCTGAGATAAATTTGCTCAGTAATGAAACTGATTAGATGTTAAGTGATACACATATATTAAGACAACAGTTAAGTGGGACATCTTGCTTGTTACCCAGGCTAGACTGGGAGTTGTTGTCAGAGTGCTGGGATACCATGCTGTGCCATGCTGGCTGTTTTTTGAGTCTTTGTTCTTGTTCTGACTCTTAAAAATGGTGTTTTAAGTTAGTCTGTAGGGGTAGAAGGACTCGAGTTTTGGATGATCAAATTAAAACATAATTGTTGCTTGATTGATGGAAAAACTGAGCTGTGAAAAGTCCATGTGCTTAACTTTCCATTTTCTTCTTGTTACCTGCAGATAATGACCCTGCTCTATTGTAGGCTTTTTTTTAATTAATGAAAATACTATAATGATGATATTTTGTAGGCTGATTCAATATCTTTTTCATACACTATTGGTATTCTTTAGAGTGAAAAAGATCAGTTTTTCTCTGAATTATAATGTCGGGGTGATACGGCTAGAAGTAGGGCAGAAATATAAAAATTAACAATAATTAGCATTTTACTAACAGAAATTTGTGTCAGTTCTAGAAAACTTTTTTAATCTTTGTTATCTTTCCCACCTCAAAATTTTAGTGTAATCAGAGCCTTAGTATTGGTATTACTGCTTTTTTAGAAAAGAGATTGTAGGGGCTGGGGATTTAGCTCAGAGACATAAGCACCTGCCTTGCAAGCAGGCAGTCATGAGTTCGATTCCTGGTACCGATAAAAACGAAAAAGACAAAAAAAAAAAAAAAAAGGAAAGAAAAAAAAAGAAAAGAGATTGTAGGAAGCTGTAGAGAATTTTTTTTTTCCTTAAAGACAAGGTTTTAACATGCAATTGAGGTTGGCTTTGAATTCACTTCATAGCCCAGGCTGGTTTTAAACTCAGTGATCCTCCTACCTCAGCCTCCCACGTGCTAGCTTTAAAGATGTGCATCAGCACATCTGGGCCAGCCATAAAGATTTTTGAAAGCACCGATGTTACTAATGATTGTGTGTGTGTGTGTGTACACCGAGGATTGAACTCACTTCCTCGTGCTTGCCAGGCAGGTGCTAATGCTGCTGAGCTAAATCTCTGGGACTATTGATTTACTTGTGTCTTATTTAGAAATCTTTGGGAGGGAGTATAGAAATCTATAGTTAATACTTGTGATTTCTTAGATTAGTAATGGTTGAGTATCTCCAGTTTTCCTTTTTTTTCTTTTTCTTTTTGAGACAAGATCTTACTGTGCTGGCTGGCCTAGAGCTCATTTTGTAGCCCAGGCCGATCTTGAACTTGCAGTGATCCTCCTGTCTTAGTTTCCCAAGTGCTGGGGTTACGGGGATGCACTACCATGCCTGGCTTCCAATTTATTCTTGTGTATATGGAAAAAATATTTTTACTTTTGCTAAAATGCACATTTCCTACCCTACAGATACCAAGAATATTAATGATTTTATAGGAGACAGGAAAAAATTCTCATTATACATATTTATAATCTTTTCTGAGTAGATATATTTTCATAAAATATGAAATATTCTAACACCAAATATTAAAAAGTTGTGGAATAAACCAATCTAATTAAAATGGTTTTTTGTTACTTTTTTTGAGACAGGGTCTTGCTGTATAGCTCTGACTGATGTTAAACTCACTATGTACCCTTGAACTTGCAGTGATTCTTCTGACTCAGCCTCCTGTATGCTGGGGTTATAGGTGTGTTCCACCATGCCTGGCCCAAGAAGCTAGAAATTTTAAGGCAGTTATTTTACATTGTTCCAGACAGTCAGCAAGTTTAAGAAGGTGATAATAAAAATTTTGTAGAAAATTTTTGTTTCATAAAAATAGATGTTCAAAATCTTTTTTTCAAAAAAAAAATAGGTAACAATATGGACTCCTAACAAAAAGAGTAAGAACATAATTTATGCTAGTTATTAAGGTTTAAATTGAAAGAAGGGAAAGACAACTATTTTAGGAATATATAGATAGACCAATAGAATACTAGTGCAGTTATGAAAATGTAAGTGGAGCTGTCATTTGCAAAGGCAGGTAGGTTCTTGGAAATCTTGACTCCCATTGAAAATTTTTAATTGTTTAAGGCTACCAAGAGTTTTGAGAACACACCGCTACAGGATTAAAAGGCTAAAAGGGCTGGGCTTGGTGGCATATTCCTGTAATCCCAGCACTTGGGAGGCTGAGGCAGGAGGATTGTTGCAAGTTTGAGACCAGCCTGGGCTACAAACTGAACTCAAGGCCAGCCTGAACTGCATAGTGAGACCCTGTCTCAAAAAGGCAAAAGGAAGAAAAACAAAACAAAACAAAACAAAAAACCCCGCTAAAACGGCTATTATAAATATGCAGCATTGAGAAACATTAAGTGCAAAATAAATATATGTAGATAAAGCTAAAATATGTTTGAGAAAATGGAAAGTTGCCATTGAAGTTACTGAAGCACAAAAACAAATTAGAATACATTAGAAGATTTAGTCTTTGGGAAGTGCCATCAAATGGAAAAGTAATTATAGATGCATGGAGCTTTTGCCTTCCTACTGAGTGATTTGGTATTTCACACGGCCTAAATATCTAGAGTTGGTATGATTTGTTCAAGTGAGAGCTTATGGTCTAAATGGCTTTTAATGTCCCTGAATTTTTTGTTATGGACAAGAACTGAAGTAGTCGGGTGTATAGTATCTCAGTGTTCAACTACAGATGAATAGACTTACCACTTTGGACATGGAGTTGGCAAACATAAAATAAGTTAGCTACTGTTTTTCTCTAATAACATTCCTATAACATCAGCAAGCCATTGTATTGTTAGTGGTATTATTTCATTAAAAATCGCAGTTAAAATTTCTTAGTCTCTTTATTTTAAATATTCTTAAAATTGGCTAATTAAGCCCTAGAATAACACAGACTATTCTTGTAGCACAGATAATTAAATGTATGAAAGAGGGGGCTTCAAAAATTATGCAAGTAATATTTCAAAATAGGTTTTTTTCTTGCTGACATAACTAACATTTATTTTCTGTTTATTTTTAAGACGAGCAAAAATCAAATTAAAGTAGATCTTGTAGATGAGAATTTTACAGAATTAAGAGGAGAAATAGCAGGACCTCCAGACACACCATATGAAGGCAAGTACTTTTTTCTGTATCAAAATATTGTGCGTATTAGAACTTGTCTGAAACATTAAGTCAAAATAATCTTGAGCATCTGTAAACTAAATGAATGACAGCTTCATATTTGGTTTGTATGTAGCAATTTTAAAAATATATTGAGGCACCTAATCTGATCTTACTGAATTTTAGCTAATACTTTTCTTTCTCCATAACAGATACAGCAGGCCCAAGTTACAGATTATGTAGGTTAGAAATGTAACAAAGTAAAACATAGAATGTTAAACCTCTAAATTTATACAGACACCCCACTAACTTCATAGGATATTTATAACAATCCTTGCCTTAAATTTCTGTTTGTTTTTTAAAACTCCCTTTCCATTTGTCTTCTAGTACTTCATTCACTCACTCACATGTCTTCATACAGGCTGCAGTCCATATATTTAATTTTCTTAGTAAAACTTTGAATGATCATTTTAAGACATATATTAAAGAAAGGGCTGGGAATGTAACTCAGTGGCACAGCACCTGCCTGGAAAGTCCAAGGCCCTGAGTTCAGTTCGTGGCCACCCACCAAAAGGGCAGCTTTGCTGAATTTCATGTTCAGAAATTTAAAGTCTGTAGCTACTTTAGACCATGAACTTGAGGGTAAGGTACAGAAAGAAGCTTTATGACTTTTTAATTTCGCATTATACATAAATTATTGTACATTTGGGTTTTACAGCGTAGCCAAGGTTCTTGCATATAATAGGTACTCAATATCAAATATTTGTTTAATAGAAAACAAAAATATGTATAGCTCTTATTTACAAGAATATTACATATATTTTCTCATTCAGTCCTTAAACACATCTTGAGGTAAGTACAGTTACTGTTTCATAGATAAGAAACTTCAACTCTAAGCAACTTGTCTAGAGTCAAACATCCAAGTCATATACCTAGGACTTGAGTCCCACTGAATAACTTTTTACTTAAAAGCCGGTATTTTAATCCTTCTGCTTTTGTGTAAATCAAGATTGAATAAATATTGGAAGTGGTGTTTGTAACTACTTTGGATGTGGTGGTTCTTTAATTCTGAAATAAATAGATCTAAAAATTTGCTGAAAAAAACTAGTATCTGTGATACTTTGTTTTCATTCAAAAATTTAAAGACCCTAGGAATGTCTTTCGCATGTCACCACCAATTGTTGTGTAATAAACTTTGTGTTTTCTGCTTTATAGTTCATTAAGCCATTTCTAGATGTTTAGCTTTTAAGTAGTTTATTAAATACCTCCTATATGCCAAGCCTGGTCTGGATGCTTTTATGAGTGCTATTTAATTTAGTCCTTTTGACAATCCTTTCATATAGATGACACCACCAGTTAGCTTACAAAAATCAAATGCTTATCTTAATGTAAGCATATTCTGTTATACTAGCTCCTTCTTGAAGCCAGACATAACAGTTGTTCTTGTATTACTTTTTAAGATATATTTTTAAAAGACAGCAGCAGCACAGTAGCATTATCATTATAGAGCTCTTAAACTTCATACTGAAGGTACCTCCTGAACTAAGGAGATAAAGAACTCTTATCTATTAGCAACTCCTGTTTAAAAAAGTTGGATAGTATACAGTTTCTTGTAGAGTAATTAAGATATAAATATGCTATATCCTTTACTGGTTAGAAATGTTTGTTTTTTTTATTTTTGCACTGGGAATCAAACTGAAGACCTTGCTGCCTGCCAGGCAGGCGCTTGTGCCACTGAGGTATATCTCCGGCCCAGGTTTGCATTTTTTAGGTGGTTATTTCTGCTATTGCTTTTAAATAAGATAATATTTTAATCAGATTAGTTTTGATGTTTTCTGAATATGTACTTGATCTAAATTTTTATCATAAAATTATTAAGCGTATTCATTTTGTTTAGGAAAAGTATCATTCAAGGGCATAAACTTTTTTCTTTGAAATATGAATATAGATAAAACATGGTGATATTTATTGCAAGGATTTTGCTTATATTGTACTCCCCAGCCCATTCCTCATTGAACCCAGGACCTTACACATGCTGGGCAAGCACTGTCGCCAAGCTTATTCTCAGCCAATTTGGTTTTTTGCTTTTGTAATATAAAACAAAAAACTTTTGTGTGCAGTTTTAAACTGTAATTACCTCTAAGTAATAAGGGAACTATTTTCATTTTATGTAATTACCTGCGGCATACCCCTACCACCTGGTCAGTTTGAGAAATAGCATCGAAAAAATTGTGTTGCCCTGTAACTCAGTTTTCTGAGGTGATTTTTGGTGTGTGTGTGTATTTTTTTAATAAGTCTTTTGCTTAAACAAATTAGTGGCAATGGAATCATCCAGGAACAGTTCTTGAGCCTGTCTTCCTAAATTTTTATTTTCCATTTTGTAGAAGCATTGTTTTTGTTTTGTTTACTTGTGTGTTTGTGACAGGGTCTCACTATATAGTTCAGGCTATATAACTGACTGTGTAGCTCAGGCTGGCCTCAAATTTGTGATGATCCTCCTGCCTCAACCTCCCTAGTGCTGAGGTTGTAGCTGTGTGCCACCATGCCCACCAGAAACATTGATAGTTCAAAAATTCTTATTCGTGTCCTATCACCCCCTTTGGATTAAATTAAATAGGAAGATTATACATTTTTAATACTGAAGACGTGTTTTTGCTTTTTTGTTGTTATCTTTTTGAGATAGAGTCTCACTGTGTAGCCTAGTGGACCTTGAACTCACTTGGTAACCCAGGCTGGGCTAAAACTCACAGCAGTCCTCCTTCCTCAGGTTCTGGAGTGCTGGAATTACAGGCATGTGCCATCACTCCCAGCTTGAAAACTGTTTTTGATCCAGCAATAATGATGTACATTTGTAATCTAACTACTTGGAGGGCTAGTGATTTACTCCATCCCAGGAGTTCAAGGTCAGCCTGGTTAACATAATGAGATCTGTTTCACTATACGTAAATATTTTGCAAAAATTTTTTAATAGTTTTAACCTGATCAAATACAACCAATGACATTTTTGGTCAGTGACAAATGTACTGTGCAACAGTGGTGGTCCTTTTTAAGATATTACTGCCTAGTGACATTATAGCTGTCTTAGCTTATGTAAGTATATTCTGTGACATTTGAACAAATAATAAGACAACTGAAAGATGCATTTCTGAAAACATCTAATGTGCTATTACCATTAATGCTCAGTGGTTATATGTTGGTAGTGATTAGGGAATAATGCAAAATACAACACATATAACATGGAGAAGGAGTAACATTTTGGGGACTCTAGGCCCCAGCAATATTTATATAATATCTCTGAGTTCTCACACTGTGCCTAAGAGATTGTTTTGAGTGTTTAAGAAGGGAAAACAACCAGGGATGTTCTCAGAAGGCTGAGGCAGAACGATTCCAAATTCAAACCCAGCCTGAGCAACTTAGTAATTTAGTGCTACCCTGTTTCAAGATTAAAATTAAGAGAATGACTAGAGATGTATCTCATTGCAGAGCGCCTGGGCTGAGTCCCTAACTCTGCCCCAGAGTGAAGAAGAATCTTGTAAGGCAAGTTATAAAGATGGTAATTTGGAATTTAATCAAGAAAAAAGATTTTAGGAAGGACAAAGCAATCCTTTGCATTATTCAAGCCAAATTTATTATTAATGCCTTCCCCTGCCTCAGCCCCAAGACCCAAAAAAGTGAACCCAGAGCTTTTGCACTGAGCTACGTCATCAGCCCTTTTATAAATTTTGAGACAGGGTCACAGTAAGTTGCACAGGTGGGACTTGAACTTACAGCCCTCTGTCTCAGTCTCCCTTGGAGATGGAATTACAGGTGTGTACCACTATTTATATCTGTATTTAAAACTAGCAAATATCATAGTATTTTTTTATTTACTAAATATACTTAGGTACCCTTCTTTTATTGCCATTTTCCCCTTTTGTTTTGGCTACTTTGCTTTGTATTTCACTGCTACCATATTCTATGATTTTTTTTCATCAATACTGAGAATCAAACTCACAATCAAGCGCTTGCAAGGCAGGTGCTTATTCCACTGAGCTAAGTCCCCAGCCCCAATATTCTATGATTTAAGCATTTATTTCATTGTGAGTAGCATTTAATAGGAGAGGGATTATATTGAAAGAATCTTAGAGAGTAGAAGTAAAGCGCTCCTGAATAAAGGTGGTAACAAGTGAAATGCTTGTTTTTTTTTCAAAATCCATAGTTGTCCATTAATAACACTGGAGATGAATTTGAAGGAATCCAAAATATATTGGGGGAAGATGTGTCAGTATGTGCCCATGCCCACCCCCCAAGGTATCAGGGATTGAACCCAAGGCTTTGCACTAAGATGAAACCCCAGTTGTTGTTTTTGGAGTTTGTTTATTTTGTTTTTGTTGTTGTTGTTTTGTCCCCCCCCCTTTCTTTTTTTTTTGCTAAGTTGCCAAGGCTGGGCTTGCACTTAATGATCCTCTTGCCGTAGCCTCCAAAGATGCTGGGATTATAGGGTTGTGTTACCACATCCAGCCAGTGTATAAACTTTTGATGTGAATAGTATAGAGTTTTTACTTGTTTTACTTTTTTGTTGTGAAAAATTTCAGATATATCTGAAGCAGTAGTATAATGAAACCTTCATGTACTTAGCCTTAATAACTCATGACTGGTCTTTTATCTAATCCATCTCAGAAGCAAATTCCCATAATTCCATATGTATTTCAGAAGCACAATTTTACTTGCTGTGTTTTATAATAGTGAATATTCTAGATTAATGAATCATAAAATTTTAGAATTGGAAAATTCTTTAAGGAGTAGGAGTCAACTTATTCAAATATTCCATTTAGTTTCTTAAATAAAAAGTATCTTCTCTTAAATTCTTCTTAAATTAAAAGTATCTTCTCAGATACTGAGTTATGGGAAACTAGATAAGTGTTTTCAAAATACCTGTTTTTAACTGCTGGTTGCTCAAGATAACTTCAGGATGAAGTAGAAGGTTGCCTTTTTTCAGTTTATGGCATAATTTGTATCTTTTGTCTCTAAATGGTTATTTTTTCTTTCTTACATTGTTTTCTTTTACTTCCATTTTTCCTGTTTTTGAGGATGGAATAGATGAAACAAAAGGGAACAGAAGCTATATTACTTACTAATTGTCCTAATGAAATATTTGGCATTGGGTTGTGGATTTATCTGTTCATGTATCTCTAGCCCTATTATTCACTGATACACTAACATAGTTACATGAAGTAGGTATTCTGTATGCTTCAGATAACCTTTAAACTATAAATTAATGCTTTGGGCTATGTAAAATTATGGATGTTTTAGAAAGTTCTATCAGTATATTCAGCTTCAAATACTTGAGCAAAATTCTCTACTTTGTTTTCTCCATTTTCTAGGAGGAAGATACCAACTAGAGATCAAAATACCAGAAACATATCCATTTAACCCCCCTAAGGTATTGTGAACATAATTTTGTGCATGAACTTTTAAAGTACATGTTTTGACTTACCTGGTGTATATTTTAGTGCTGTTGTATGAATCTTTACTGTGTGTAAACTTAAATGTGAACAAGAGTTTAAGCAATGGCAAATTGCTTGCTTCTGAAATTAGAATGAAAAACAAACATACTTCAGAGTAGCCAACAGTGGCTCTTGTTGGTCTAGGATATACATCTGATAATGGCTCAAATACTAAGTCTAGAAGAACGTGCAGGCTTCTCAGATTTAGAGATTCTTGCCTCAGATAAGTATGTATAGAAAGGAAGAGTGTATTCTATGTTGACTCAAAAACTTAATACCGTGTGCCAGTGAACATAGTGGCAAGACTTACACTGCTCTTGTTGTCATGGAGCACACATTGTGGGAGAAGAAAATAATGAGAAGTGATTGCAGCCATGATGACTTGTTGAGGGAGTGGTCTGACACTAAGAGGACTGTGTCTCAGAAGGGACGTAACCCAAACTTTTCTTTTGTACTAGGGATCAAACTCATGATCTCATACTTGCCAGGTGGGCACTGTGCTGTTGAGCTAAATCCCTGGCCCAACCCAAGCATTTCTTGTTTTGACCGAACCATGCTCGTTAAGTCCTTCCTTTCGTCACTACTTGAGCTTAGGCCTTCAATTTTATTACTTCCTTATTTCATCTGTCACTTAATTCACCCCCTCCCACGTTTGTCTTTCATGTTCTTCACATTTGTAAATCTTTCCAAGGACACTTTTGATCATGTTTTTCTTTTTCTGCTAATAAAGTCTAAATTCATAAGCCTGGCATTTGATCATCTCTGCTTTTTATTTTTATTTATTTATTTACTTTTGCACTGGGAATCCAACTCATGACCTTGCACTTGCCAGACAGGCACTGTGCCACTGAGCTGTGTCCCTGGCCCCGTAGCCTGGTATTTAGTATCACCTACAACCTGAACTCCGTTTTCTTTTCCATCCTACGTTTCCACCGTTTCTACCCACAACATGGGTCTGCCTCATTTTCCTGTCTGTATTTGCTGTCTGTAGATGATGCTGTTATTCCACACTTACTTGCTATTAGTTTCACTTGAATTTTTGTCTATTATTTGAACTTAGCTAACTTTCCCCTCCCCCTCTGCTGCCCTCCCCTTGTTTTGTACCGGGAATCAAACTCGGGACCTTGTACTTCGAGGCAGGCACTTGTGCCACTGAGCTATATCCCTGGTCCATTGCTTTTCTTTTGAGGTCTAGGTAAAGTGCCACCTTTCTCCATTAAGCTGTGTTCATCAAACATTTCTCTCTTCTTTCTCATTAGCATTTTGTTAATTTGTATAGTGCTGTTCAGTACCAGTATGTGTACTGCATATGTGTCTTTCACCAGATTTGTTTGTCCTATGTTATTATCAGTAGTTCCTTAATAGTATGGTGTCCTTGAGCACATTATTACAGTCACTCAGCTTGTTCTGGAGTTCACTCACTCGGCCTATTGGTTGTTTACTTTTTGAATAAACATGGTAATAGAAGGTGCAGAATAAATTTAGATCACCTACCAGAATAGAATGCCTATTACTTTGTTGCTTTATGTACATAGATTTATTCTCTAATTAACCTGGTTGGGTTTTTTTTTAATTGTTGTAAAATATACTTGATAAAATTTACTGTTTTGCTGAGTGTGGTGGTGCATGTCTGTAATTCCAGCACTTGGAAGAGTGAGGCAGGAGAATTGCTGTGATTTTTGAGCCAGCCTGGGCAAAATTGTGAGATTTTGTCTCAAAAAAAAATTTTTTTTTACCATTTTAACTATGTTCAGTGTTTTGTACACCTTCAGTACCATCTCTCTCCAGAACTTTTTCATCTTTCTACACTGCAACTGTCCATTTAACAGTATCATTAATACCATTACTCCCAGCTTTTAATAGAACCTCAAGTGTGTATTCTGTCTATGCTTTAACTGTTCTGGGTACCTCATGTAAATGGAGTTACATTATCTCACTTATTAGAATATTAAGGTGTATCCATGCATGTGTTAGAATTTCTATACATACATATTTATAGATTGATTTATTCAGGTTTTTTTGAGGTAGGGTCTTGTTACGTAGTAAAGGCTAGTCTTGAGATCACTGGGTAGCCCAGGCTAGTCTTGAACTTTTTGTGATCTTTCTCCTGAGTGCAAGGATTGTAGCTGTATACCACCACACCAGGCCTTCGAATTTAGGCTCTAGATGCATACAGCTCCGTGTGTGTGTGTGTGTGTGTGTGTGTGTGTGTGTGTGTGTGCGCGCGCGCAAATACAGAAGGAAGAAAATAAAAGTGCTGTATTTTCAGTATTAAATAATTATAATAACAACTGTCCTTGATTTGTGCTGTCATGTCTTTATTTATAAATACTTGTTTTTGCTTTTGTTTTCCTGAGACAATACTTTTTTTTTTTTTTTTTTTCCTTTTTATCGGTACCGGGGATCGAACTCACAACTGCCTGCTTGCAAGGCAGGTGCTTATGCCGCTGAGCTAAATCCCCAGCCCCTAATAATTGTAACAGCTCTAATAAATGAGAGGACCTGAGTCTTATGTAAGTAGAACCTACATTCTGTAAGGCTGTACTTGCCTATGTGTTAAAACCACTGAACTGTTCATCATCATCCTGATAGAGAAGGAGTGAGGGAAAAATCTCTAACCATGAATCTCACTTGACCAAAACAGTTAACTACAGTTCAGATTATGTTTTCTTGCATTTAACTGTTTTGACTTTAGCAAGTTTATCTTGTTTCTGTATACTTTAGTTTTGTTTTGAGATAGATTCTCATTTGTTTTTAAAAATTCTTTCCTAAGTCTATAAACATTAAAGGAGTTAACCCATGTAAAGTATTTAATTTGAGAAATTCTGTGAAAATTTTTTTTCCACATTTTAACATCTTTTAAATTATTAGAAAGAACATTTGTTTCAAGTCACTAGATTTTTGAAGCTGGCCATGAAATTGCAGCAATTGTCCTGCCCCCACCTCCTGAGTACCTGTATTACCAGTGTGTGCCACCACACCTAGCTAAGGGTTTCTTGTGAGGTGTTACAGTTATCAAAAATTAGATTGTGTTGATGGTTGTACAACTCTGTGGATATACCAAAATTATGTAGTTATACATGTTTGAAATAACATTTCCTTTTGTGTAAGTAACTTTATAATAAACTGATTTAAAAAGCAAATTAAGTGTTCTTTAGTGACATCTAATAAGAAAATAAAAAAATAAAAAGCAGATAAGTGGATGAATATTTTTATAAAGTATTAAATAATTGCCCCGATGAGATGATTTACTGTGAAATCATGATAAATTCTGTATTTGTACTGCAGCACATATGATACTTATGAGAATTAGCAATGGATAAAACGTTCTCAGCACAGTGAATGAGTTACACTTCAAAATGATCATTTCCTCATGAAGAGTTTGATTTTCCAGTTATCATCCCCCCAATAAGAAAGATACACACACACACACACACCACAGAAATTGGTATTCTGCAGTCCTTAACTATTCCTTGGAGTAAATTGGGGAGAGAGACAAGCATCTCCTTTTCCCCCCTATGGAATATCTGAGATTCTGGCCCTAAAGGTTCTAAGTTGAATTAAGCAGGTACAGAAACATACCATATCACATCTCTGAATCAGATCATCTCTGACAAGATTTGCATAGTCTCTCATAGAATACTACTTGCTAAAGTAAAAGGAACATGAATACAAAAAGCTTAGTAAGTTTTATGAAATTAATATCTAGTGTAATATTTTAAACAAAGAGATAAGCTCTTCAGTGAAATAAATTAGGCAGGGTGGCATATGCCTGTAATCTGAGCTACTGAAGAGGCTAAAACAGAAGGATTGCAAGTTGCCAGCCCAGACAGTTTGAGCAGACCTCCATTTCAAAATAAAATTTAAAATGTCTAGGGACATAGTTCAGTGGTAGGATACTTACCTAGCATGGTTTCAAGCCCCACCACCATCACTGCTGCTTGGTTTAATGAAATATTCTTGAGGTACAATCTTTTTTTGGATGGGATTTACTTAGTACTGAACCTGGGACGCTTAGATTGAGCTGTATCCTCAGCCTGCTTTTTATTTTGAGAGAGAATCTCATCAAGTTCCTAAGTAGCTTAGGCTGGACTTGAACTTAAGGTCTTTGTGCTTCAGCCTCCCAGAGGGCTGAGATTATAGGCCTGTGCTACCAGGCCATGCTTAGTTTCAGACCTGGGACTAGAAGTTCCTTATAGAAATGATAAGTTACATCTACCATGAAGTAAAAAGCTGTGCTTGAAGGAAAAGTTAGAATATCAATGATGGTTTGCCAGTATAGTTAGGAATTACTACTTGTATTCCAGTCTGGTCACATTTAGTATCTTGAGTAGTATATATAGCACTCTTCAGGTTTTTATGTATTTCTTGCACATTTCCTTCAGGTAGCAAGTGTTCTAGAGTTCTAGGTAAAGCTAGTGTTAGTTGTGTATGTGACAACAGGAATAAAATTATGAGTTAAGTGTTCCAGTAATAGAAACCATCCTTTACGTGTTCTGTAATCTGAGTCAAGTAGAATTCACATATGTCATGATGAGTGTCATCATACCGTTAACTTGCTCTTACACTTGATCTCTTTGGAGTCCTTTACTACATTTTTGTTAATTTGGGTCAGGAATGGTCGGACTATGAGAGAAAGTGGCAGAACACAGTGGATATGAGTTGGGTATAAAATACTAGGACACTGTTTAGGATGAATGTGAGTGCTGATGTTCATGTTAACCCTAGAGAGAACCAGACAGAGAAGTTAAAAGCTTACAAAAGAGATGGTTGATGATAACAAAGAATGAAGGAGAAAGAAATAGAGAATAGTTAGGATCACACAGAAGCTGCTCATGAGATAGTTGTGTCACTGCTAGTAGATAATGTGATAGCCTCTTGGAGGACCTTCCTCCTCTTTCCCTACCTGTCTTTCTCTCTCATTGAGGGTTGGACTCAGAACCATATGTATTACAGGCAAGAATTCTACAACTGAGCTATAATCTCAGCTCTGGAGTGTTAATCACCTGTAAATTCATTTAAAAATCTTTGTTTTAAAGAGAAAAATAATTTTAAAACAAGATAATAATAGGGGAGTAATGGTTAACTCACTTATTTTTTAGCTGTAGATAATAATATAAAAATTAGTTTAGTAGCCGGGCATGGTGGCTCATGCCTGTAATCCCAGCGCTCAGGAGGCTGAGGCAGGAGGATCGTTGCGAGTTCAAGACCAGCCTGGGCTACAAAGTGAGCTCAAGGCCAGCCTGAACTGCATAGTGAGACCCTGTCTCAAAAAAAAATTAGTTTAGTAATCTCTTCCATCCTGGTACTTCTTTGATTCTGCAAAAATATCTGTGGAGAATCATACATGGAATATTCTTGTTAGGGGCCAGGAATTTAACTCAGTGACATAAGCGCCTGCCTGGCAAGCATGAGGTCATGAGTTGGATCCCCGGCACCAAAAAAAAGAATACTCTTCTTTAAAAGTAAGATACAGTACATGGTTGAGGATACAGCTCATGGTAGAATATTTGCCTAGCATCCCTTTGGCCCTGAGTTTGATCCCTACAACCAAAGGTGGGGAGGAGCATTAACAGTTAACAGATCCTCAGAGTGATCTGGTTGTGTAAGATAAACTTTCTGGCATATTTAGTAGTAGTTTAAAATTGTTTTCAATATTGTTGAAAATATTTCATCCTTTTTTTTTTTTTTTTTTTTTTTTTGTCTTTTTCCTTTTTATCGGTACCAGGGATCAAACTCACGACTGCCTGCATGCAAGGCAGGTGCTTATGCCACTGAGTTAAATCCCCAGCCCCCGAAAATATTCCATTCTTTCATAAGATTACAGAATACTGTCATAATTCTTGAGTTACTGAAGTTAACAGCAGTGGTTAATTTGTATTTATGAATTGAAATCAATGAATGGGCTGGGCATGGTGGCACACTCCTATAATCCCAGCACTCAGGAGGCTAAGGCAGGAAGATCTTTGCTAGTTTGAGACCAGCTTGGGTTACAAAGTGAGCCCAAGGCCAGCCTGGATTTCATCATGAGACCCTATCTCAAAAAGATGCCTCTCCCCCCAAAAATCAATGCATGGTAAATATTAAGATGTAAATTTTGTGGTTACATCTGTAATAAATGTTTGCTGTACCTGAATCCTATACTACTTATTTGACCTGGACTACCTTTGAAATTAAAGGTTTGACACAGCATTAAATGCACAGTTCAGTGTAAGGCAGGTGCTAAAATTCTGGGGACACTCTGGTAAGCCTAACAGAGTCCCTTTTCTAGAAATCCACACAAAATGGGGGAAAATCCCCTCTTCCTCCATATATGCACACACATGTATATATATAATTTTTTTTTAAATTTGGGGGGTTTTGTCGGGGGGTTATTTTTTGAGGCAGGGTCTTGCTATATAGTTTAGGCTGGTTTTGTACTCGTGGCAATCTTCCTGTCTTACAGCTTCCTAAGTGCTAGGATTGTGCTGGGATTTCAGGCATGCACCAGCACACTCAGTGAGGCAGAGGTTATGGAAGTATTGTCAGTATTGTGATAGAGGAACGTGTAGGTGCTGTGGGAATAGGTTAGGAAGAAGTGATAGAAAAGCTGAAACTTGGAAGTTAGCCCAGGGCAGAAGGAGTAAAAGTATGTCATTGAGAAAATAAACATCCGTGAAGACCCAGAGGCAAAAAATAAATTTGAATATGTCTTGGACAGCATAATTGGGGGTGGAGATGTGAATTATATTTAAGGTGTAGGTTAAGGCCTGCTTAATAATGTAGGCACAGGCAGAGTGGTGCTTGTCTGTAATCTTAGCCATTTGGAAGCAAAGGCAGGATTACAAGTTTGAAGATACCCTGGACAGACACAGTCCCATCTTAGAATGTTTATAAAACAAAAGGAGGAGTGGTGATTTAATAGGGCACATGCATAGCATGCGTGAAGCCTGGGTTCAGTCCCTGGTACTGCCCAGAAAAAGGAGGATGTTGGCTTACATAAAAGGAATTGAGAGGTGGTTAAAAGGTGATAAATGGAGTAGTAGCACAGATCACATTTGTTTTACTTTATTTTTCAAATCATTTTATTCAAAGATAAATAGAAAAACTATAACAAAATTTCCAAGTATATGAATCAGGGACACTAATAAGTCACCCAGGTTCTAGTGTGGAAAATAGATTGGAGGGAACAGACTAGAAGACAGTAGTCAAGACACTGAAGAAACACAGGAGAAACCAGAGATTTAGCTCAGCGGCGTAAGCACCTGCCTGGCAAGTGTGAGATTGCGAGTATGATCCTTGGTACAAAAAACAAACAAAAAAAAGCACAGGAAAAGAATCATAGTCTTTGAGATGGCTGTGTGGATGGAGAAAAGAGGAAGTATCACCGATAGTATTAATTTTTTTTGACTGTGAGAATGAAAAAGGATCAAATGTGGCTTGAATGAAGTGAAAAATTTCTAGGTGTTTTAAAGTCATTGGTAACTTAATGTCCCTTTCCATGTGGAGTATGAGTTACTGAGTAGTAGTAGGAGGAGGCAAGACATAGAGATATAGACAAGTCCACAAGTCGCGAGGAGTTGAAGATGGTAGTGCACACCTCTGATCCCAGCCATCTGAGAGCCAGGCAGGAGGAGCTCAAAGTCAGGTCTGGCCTGGTCAGTGTAGCACTACCCTGTCTGTCTCAGAGTAAGAAAGTAAAAAGGGCTGGAAATGTGGCTCCATGGTAGAGTACCCTGGATTGAGTCCTTGGTACTGCCCCGCCGTAACACACAGAGAAGTCACAGGAGACAAGGGCAAGCAGAAGACTTAGCTTGTTAGCATAAATAGGTTATATTTGGAATACATACCAAAGAGTTAATTTTTGTAAAGTACAGTATTACTTTATACATGGTAGCTAGTCTATTAAATAGTAAGAGACTTCGGGCTTAGCTGGTCTCTGTAAGGGTACCTTGGTTCCTGAACTTAATTTTTTCCACGATTCTGGTTGCAAACCAAATTAAGAACCAAATCAAATTTCACCATAAGATCTACATTGAACCTGACCATTAAATTGAATTAGGTTCTCGTCCAGTTTGCTTTGTGACCAGAAACATGGAAAGAACCCAGATTCTATTGTACTGTATGTGTCAGAAGTAATAATAGTAATATCAACGATAGTCCTCTGAAAGCTCATGAGTAGAACTTGCAAACTAGATTTCATAATAGTCTTATAGCTGTTTCACTAGTTTTCTTCTGTGCTAGACAGATAAGTGAGGTGATTAGAGATTTAGAGTCTGGAATCAATTTGTGTAAGTTTTCACTTTGTTCTGTAATTCTAACTTAACAATTTGGTTTGGGCTAAGTTTCTGAAATTGAAAGCTTCAGTGTCTTCTCAGGGTCTGACACATGTCTTCGAATGTTTGTTGGGATATCCAAAAAAAAGATTTGAGAAAAAAAGGTGCAAAAAATTAAGGAATACTGCCTCTACTTGTTTCTTGTCTGTGTATCAGTTTTACTTACGTTTTACCTTCGAACCTGTTGTGTATGCTAGTTCACACTAAGAAAAGTGCCAGTAACTGTAGTTTGATTTAATGTACTCTTTACCCAAATGGACTTTAGTCTTTAATTTCTCAGTGTGTGTGACATGCTAGGTAAGTTGAAAATATGTAATTGGTTGGTGTGTTTTAAGGTAGATAATTTATTAAAAGGCTTAAAAAGAATATATATCAATAACAACATATGCTTATTGTGAATGGTTTGCTTCCTATACTCTTTATATTGAGCATCTGAGGATTTCATTTTCTTATAGTTTTATTTAAACTGTATGTTTTACTTTTGTTACTTAAGAACTCAAGTGTGCTTTATATTCTAGGTCCGGTTTATCACTAAAATATGGCATCCTAATATTAGTTCCGTCACAGGGGCTATTTGTTTGGATATCCTGAAAGACCAATGGTAAGAGATTTTGAAATCACTTTCTTTCTTTGCTCATAGGAATACCAAGATTATAAGAATGCTAAATGTACAAATTCTACAAAACATAAAAATATACTTTGGTCAACAAGTTCATAAAGTCTTGTAAGTACACAATTGAAAAATGTGTTATAATTAAGATCACAAACTATACTTAAAGCCAGGTGTGGTGATGCATGCCTGGAATCCCAGCACTCGGGAGGCTGAAGCAGGGTGGTCCCTGTGAGTTTGAGGCTAGCCTGGGCTACATAAGTGAATTCAGTGCCTGCACTACATAACAAGATTCTATCTTTACTATTTATTTATTTATTTTTGTCTTTTTGAGATAGGGTCTCACTGTGCAGTTCAGACTGTCCTTGAAGCTCACTTTGTAGCCCAGGTGGGTCTTGAACTTGCAATAATCCTCCTGCCTCAGCCTCCTATGTGCTGTGATTACAGGTGTGAGCCACCATGACTGGCTTCATGTATTTTAAAAAAAAAAAAAAAAAAAAAAGAGGGCTGGGGATTTAGCTCAGCGGCATAAGCACCTGCCTTGCAAGCACACAGTCGTGAGTTCGATCCCCAGTACCAATTTAAAAAAATAAATAAATAAAATAAAAATAAAGAAAAACCAACAACAATCTGTACTTTTTAGACATGTAATAAGTAACCTCAGATGCTGGCTTTACATTTTAAGGAAGTCTTGGATTTTATCTGTGTTGTGTGTTTTATGTTTTGTTTCATTTTTTGTACATTTGATATCTCAAGAAACTTGTAACAAAGTAAAAAGTAAGTATTGAAGTAATCATCTCGCACTTAGAACGAATTTAAGTATCAAAATTGTTAGAAATTTTTAAACTGTTCATTGAGCACAGCTCAGGTTCTTAGATGTTGAGGAGTATTTTTGTAGATCATATGTATCTTCATTTACACAGAACTTGGTTTGTCTAGTATGAATTTAGAAGTGTAGTGCTTTAAGCGTTGGCTCTTCAATTGTTAAGCTTTGTGCTTATGTCCAAAATAGCTAGTCTGTGCTCCTTTGCTCTTTTATAAAAATGAAATTAATACTTCACAGAATGGAAAGGACTGAAAGGAGATGTTTTATGCAGTTCTCTTAAAGTAGAATGTGGCATAGTGAAGATAATCCTATAGCAGTGGTGTAGGCAAGAAAGTAGCTTTTATTTATTTAACACATGGTTTTATAGATCAAAAAACAGAGGCACCACAGTGGGAGAAGCCAAAAAAATTTAGATTAAGTGAATATGTGTTAGGACCATTTCCTCCAATTTTACTGTTATTGTAAGAGAAGGAACAGTAAAAGAAAACAGAATAACAATTTACAAGGATACATAGAACCAAGACAATATTTAATGGACCCATTCTGACTACCTAATCTGAAAATTACGTACTGGTATTGCAATCCCCAGTCATCTAGGAATTGAAGACTTTGGCATTGAGCTGTATCCACAGTGCCTTTCAAATTTGCCCCCCCCCCCTTCTTAATCCGTACCAGGGATCGAACTCACGACTGCGTGCTTGCAAGGCAGGTGCTTATGCCGCTGAGCTAAATTCCCAGCCCCCTCTTTTTTTTTTTTTTTTTTTAAGACCAGGTTTCCAGAGGCCAGGGACTTAGCTTAGTGGCATAAAGCGCCTGCCTAACAAGTATAAGATTGTGAGTTTGATCCCTGATTACCCCCCCCCCCCAAAAAAAAAAAAAGAACAGGTATCCACAAAATTGCCCAGGCTAGGGTTGAATTTATGGTCTTTCTTTAGCCTCCCAGGATTTTGGGCCTATGAAGCTGTACTACCATGCCTTGAGGTACAGGAATTTTCTTGGTTGATTATTTTTGTTTTGTTGAAACATGATCTTACTATATAGTTCAAGATGGCCTGTAGTCACTGCGTAGCCCAGGCTGACCTTAACCCCATTGCAGTTGTCCTACCTCAGCACCACCACACCTAGCTAGCCTGGAATTTGTTAAGCTACATGTTTGCTTGCTTGGTTGTTTTGGGGTTTTTTTGTTTGTTTGGTTGGTTTTTTTGAAACAGGGTCTTGCTGTATAGTCCAGGCTGGCCTTGAATTTGCAGTGACCCTCCTGCCTTAGCCTCCTGAATGCTAGAATTTCAGGCATGTGCCATCATGCCCAGTTTTGGTTTTGATTTTTTTTTTTTTTTTTTTTTGTACCAGGGGTCGATCTTACCACCTTGTGCTTGCCAGGCAGGCGCTTTGGCCACTAAGTTAAATCCTTGGCCCTGGTTTTTGAGGTAGGGTTTTGCTGTGTAGTTGCAGACTCTTCTTGAACTCACTGTGTAGCCCAGGCTAGCCTCAAACTCACGGCAGTTCTGCCTCAGCCTCCTGAGTCCTGGGATTATCAAGTATGTGTGACCACGCCTGGCTCATGTTTGATTTCTTAAAAGAATGATGACTCTAAAAGGTGAAACAAATGACTGATTTAGTGTACAGGTAATTTGGTTTATTTAGTGACTGGATGAGTAAACTAGAGTTGCTTATTTGATTCCTTTTTTCCATTCTAATACATACCAGTAAATCCTGTTGCTCATTTCTTAGAATCTGGTTTCTTGATCTGTATTGAAATAGACTTGTCTTCTGTGGTTATTACACTTTGATCTATGACCTTTACTGATATATTAAGCTAGTAGGCCTCACCGTGTTTTTTTTTTTGTTTGTTTGTTTGTTTTTTTGTATTTAAGACAAAGTTTCCTATGTAGTCCAGGCTGATTTTAAACTGGCAGTTCTCCTGCCTTAGCCTCCAGGGTGCTGGGATTACAGGCATGTACAAACATGCCCTGGTGCCTCAGTGGTTTTTTTGTAAAGTTATCTCTAAGAACTCTTATATCTCTGAATCAGTGACTTGAATGCATGTTTTTTTCTTTTCTTTTTTTTTTTTTTTTTTTTGAGACAGAGTCTCGCGAGCAATTCAGGCTGACCTTCAGCTGACTTTGTAACTTGGACTGGTCTTGAACTCATAACCACCTTCCTGCCTCAGCCTCCAGAGTGCTGGGATTACAGGCATTCACCACTATGCCTGGCTGAATGCATCTTTTTCATAGTAGAGATATATTCTTTCCGCTTGACTTCTAGGATATCAGTTCTTCTGTTCTTCTTGGCTATTCCAGCCTTCCTAACTAGTTTGATCCTTGTATCTTAGAATTTTCCACATTAGAAAACTAGAGGGATAAGTCTTACCTTCTGTTGCTTTTAATCCATACTCTTGGTGAGCTCTTCTGGTTGTGTAATTTCTCCATTATATGCTAACAACTCACTGATTTATCTGCCTGACCTTCCAGACTCATGTTCTTGTTCTTAGCATCTATATTTGAGTTCCTTAGTGAGCATCATAGGCATGGCAGAAACTGAACTGCTGACCCCTGATCTAAAACTTGGGCCTCATTACATAGCCTTCCACATCCAAGTTATTGGCCACTACATCCTTGAAGTTGCTGAGGTCCAGAATGTCATCATGATCCTTGTTTTTTCCTTTTTCTTTGTTATCTCGTACACTGTTTATAAATCTGTTGGTGAAACCTTCAAACTCTTACCAGGAGATTTACCGCTACTACCTTGATTCTGAGTCCACTGTCTTGCCTGGGTAGCGGCAGTGGCCTTCCACCTTCTTGCTCCTGACTTTACCCTTCGCCAGCTAATTTCAACAGTAGCAGGACACACCACCCCCACCTAAACAGATAAAGCTTCAGGCTAATCTTTCACAGACTTGTGTTTGATCCGAGTAAAGCCAGCAGTACTGTTACTTCTAGTTATCTCCCTATAACTAGTTGCAAGGCTATGGGGTGGGGGGGGGGTGTCTGTGTGTGTGTGTGAAAGAGAGGGAGAGAGAGTGTGTGTGTGTGTGTGTAGTGGCAGTAGTGGTGATTCATCAGTAGTTCATCATATTTCAATTGAAATATGAAAAGATAGCAAAGGCATGGCAGATGAAACAGGTGAGGCTAGGTATTCGTGGAGTAATATTTCTCCATTCCTTTCTCCACTGGGATACAGTTTATGTTAAGTGTATATCCATGCTTAAATGTCGGTGTTTAGGTTTCAGAACTGGAATTTGATGAAATATAAAATATTGTTGGGAAGAATGAGTTTTACGAACTTTGGGTAATTTGGGGCAGGTGTGCTTGAAAATAATAGACTAATGTTTTCGTCTCTTGTCTTTATCATTCTCCTCAGCCTGGTTCTGAGCTTGTCGAACAAGCCAGCTATCTAGTTGGTCATTAAGCTGTGTCATGTACCATTAGTCACCACAGACATAAATTGTTGAGCTGCTTAATACATACCTTTGGGGATATGTCATGGTAAAAAATACGAATTGTAACATTACATAATGGTGAAAGAGAGCATGCTATTGACATAAGCGTGTGAGTGATTCTCACAGACCTTTTTAGTCACAAGAACCAGACACAAGAGTATATATAATTCATTTTCACAAAATGCAGAATGTGTTAAACTAGTGTATGGTGATAGGACGGTGCTTGGGGGTAGGCAGGAGTTGTGGAGGAAGACGAGAATGAGGTGTTTCAATGCTTGAAACACTCCACGTTTTAGTTGAGTATGCTGGCACATGCCTGTAATTCCAGCACTTGGATCACAGGATCACTGGAAGTTTGAGGCCAGTCTAAGCTATAGAGTGAGACCTATCTCAAAAAACCAGGGAGAGGGAGGAGTAAAAGAAATAGTCTACATTTTGATGCAAATGGTGGTTTTATGGGAGAATACTTATGAAAAAAATCTACCTAATGCAGCATGTTACTGGTATCTCAATAGGTTATAACAAAAAAGCTACTATATTCTGTAAGTAACATTCGGTATTTAAAGTGAACATGGCTTGTTGATCAAATGTAAGATCCTCACGAGAAAAGTTAATAAAACACAGTTTACCCATGATTATTTTGCATGGTACAGGCTACCAAGTCCTTGAAGGTGGGACTCACTGTGTAGCTCAAGACAGTCCTCCTGCTTTAGCCTCTGCAGTGCTAAGAGTAGAGGCACGCCCCCCACCTGGTATGAATTGATTTTTTTTAATCTGCCATGTTAACTATTTATTGACTTGAGAATTGTCCAGAATTAATTTAGTGAAGATAGACATATCAGCCACTGATTAGTTAACGTTTCATGTGCTTACCTGTTGGTAAAAAAGTATTTTAATAGTCTGATTTTATATAGTGAATCTTAAAAATCTCAATACAATCTGGTTTGCATCATTACTTGGGAGAAGAAAAATAAGTGGAAAGAAAGAGCATGTTTTTGGTTGTCACATTACTAAATTTTGATTGATTGATTTTGAAGACAGCTTCACTATGTAGCCCAGGCTACAAACTTGTGGTGACCCCTCCTGCCTCATCCTTCCTTGGTGTTGGGTTATAGGTGTGTGCTACCATACCTAGTTAATGATTTGTGGTCAGCTTTTTGAAATTTTGCATTTGTTTGTTTTCAGCCAGCAGATATCAATGGTTTATAAACCATAGTAGCACATACAAAACATTTTACTAATGACAATTTTTGAACATGATGAAAAATGGTCACTTTTTTGTTTTGAGGTCGTTTGGGCTGAGGGTGTAGCTAGCTCAGTGTTAGACCACTGACCTGTCGTCGTGCATGGGGCCTCCATGTTTGATCCCTAGGACTACAGGGGAAAAATCTTTTGGAGATAATTGTGAACTGAATATGAAGTTACAGTTTCTAATCATTTCCATTCAGTTTTGAAGCAAACTATCTTTTTGAATATGTTTAACTTTAGGTTAATCATTTCTAATTTTTTTTAATTTATAAATTTATTGTTTAATCTACAAGCTTCCTATAGTTTTAAAAAGTGAAAAACAAAAACAAGGCTGAGGATTTAGCTCAGCAGCATAAGCACCTGCCTTGCAAGCAGGCAGTCGTGAGTTCGATCCCTGGTACCAATAAAAACGAAAAAGACAAAAAAGAAGAAAAACAAAAACAGTGAAAAAAAGACATGATTGCAAAGTCAGGGGCTTTCCAGCTTCCAAAGAGAAGAGCTCTGAACATTATATATAGCCTAATTCACAGAGTAAGTAAAAAATATGAATGGAGCCATGACATTTCAGAAAAACGAACTTTCATATAACTGAAGGAGAGGAGAGGAAAGGAAGGAGCTCGTGAGGAGAGAAGGAGAAAAAAACACCAGAAGAACAGAATAGAATCGAATGCCAGTGTTCCAGATGAGCTCACTCACATCCATAGAAGCCTAGTGTCCTGGAAAGCATGCTTTCATTTTTCTGCCTTATCCAAAGTTCACATCTTGATTCATTTCAGCAGCAATTTCAAGGCAACAAGAAAGATTGTGATTCTCTGGCCTCAGGCACTCTTGAGCCCCCTTTTTTTGTATTTTTGAAAACAAATGGCATAAACCTTACTATCTTAGCTGAATTCTGTTTCCATCAGCAGTTTTTATCACCATTGTCTGTAGATTGTTTTTGTTTGTTTTGGAAACAGGATCTTACTATGTACTTCAGGTTGGCCCTGAACTCACTAAGTATTCCATTTTTGTGATTTGTTTTAATCTATACTTTTTAAAAATTTAAGTCACTTTTCTAATACAGTTGGACAATTTTTGATGTGTGTATTTAAATACTCTCTTTGCCCATGAAATTAGAATAATGAAGTAGGCATGGTGGTACATGTCTGTAATCCCAACTATTTAGGAGGCTGAAGCAAAAGTATTGTAAGTTAGGGGCTGGGGATTTAGCTCAGCGGCATAAGCACCAGCCTTGCAAGCAAGCAGTCATGAGTTCAATCCCTGGTACTGATAAAAAGGAAAAAGACAAAAAAAAAAAAAAAAAAAAAAAAAAGTATTGTAAGTTAAGAGTCTAGCATGGACAATTTTGCCACGTAGTGAGATCCTGTCTTAGAAAATAACGAGGGCCGAGTATGGTGGCATGCCCTGATAGCCCTAGTGCTCAGGAAACTGGAGGCTGAGGTAGGGGATCACTGGGAATTTGAGGTTAGCCTGAGCTACAAGTACATAGTAAGACCCTGTCTCAAAAATTCAAAGAAAAAGAAAAAGAAAAATGGGTGTGGTGGCGCACACCTGTATTCCCAGCACTTGAGAGGCTGTGGCAGAAGGATTGGTGTGAGTTTGAGGCTGGCCTGAACTACACTGCAAGGCCTTGCCTCAAAAAGTACAAGCAAAAATTAAAGGCTGAATATGTATTAAGTGCAAAGGCTCTGGGTCCAGTCACCTCCTAAAAAATACTCTTCATAAAGAGAACATTTTGAAGATTTCAAACTGGGCAGGGGGTGCATATCCATAATTCCAGCATTTGAGATGCTGAGACAAAAGGATCAGGAGTCTCAGGTAAGCCTGGCTTTACATAGCCAGTCCCGGGGAAGTTTGAACTACATAGCAAGAACTGTTTCAGAAAACAATTAGAAGGAGTTAGATGTGATAGTTCATGCTTGTGACCCTAGAACTCAGGCAACTGAGGCAGGAGGATTTCTGCAAGTTTGAAACCAGCTGTCGTGTCTCAAAAGAATAAGCATTGAATTTGACTTACTTGTGACCCCTATCCTAAAAAAAATATGACTCATATTAACTGTTACAAGTCTTCATTGAAAATTACTTGTGTAATCTTTGAGGAAGTTTAGCACCATGGTCCAGAAAAAAATGGTTCTGACTTCTCACCCCTATTTCAGAATTAGGCATTCAGTTACATAAAACTGCATAGCTGTGGGAAAGTCCTTTACAAGTACTATTTTTAAGTGCAAACTCAGCCTTTCATCAAGTTTTTGAGCACCACAGCAGCTTTTTCCCCCAAGTCCTATAGTTCATGTTTGTTTGGTTTTGTTTCGGTATTAGAGATTGAACTCACGACCTTGAGTTTATCAGGCACGTGCTTTGAGCCGCTGAGCTAAATCTCCAGGTGTAGTTCTTTAAAAATATAAATTGATGATTTAAAAAAATACTTTATTCCAAGAACTTCAGTCAAACACATGACCTTGAACATAACAGGCAAGTGCTTGAGCCACTGACCTAAATCCCTGGCCCCATATTCCAAAAACATTTTAAAGAAACATTGTATACTGGAATCTTTTCCTACTACACAAAAGTGTAGACTTATGAATATGGTACTGATTTTACTAAAATAGTCTTTGTTACTTAAACTTTACCACTTAGTGCACGTCACTATCACTTGGAGCATTTTACAAATACTGCAGTATTGATTGGAGAAAAAATGTTTAATACAAATGCAAAGAATTCTTCCTAGACCAGTAGAAACCATTTTATACGTAAATATTTGCTTTGTAAAGATACATATTTTCTTTATAAATACACTAAGGGGGATAATTTATTTATTTATATGTGAGGGGTTGAACTCACAACCTTGTACTTACTAGCAGCCAAGGGCTTGTGCCAGTGACCTAAATCCCCAGCCCTATTTAACTTTTTTGAGACAGGGTGTCATTAAGGTACCCAGGCTGGGCTCAAATTTGAGATCCTTCTGCCACACTTTGAGAGTGTTGGGATTGAAGCTATATGCCAACAATCCTGATTTTATTTACTTTAAGCAGAAAGCTTACCCAGTTTCAGACTGTTATGAAATGATTGCAAACTCTTATTAAAAATAAAGCACATTTGGGCTGGGGATTTAGCTCAGTGGCATAAGCACCTTCCTGGCAAGTGTGAGGGCGTGAGTTCGATCCCCAGTACCACACATACACACAAAAAAGTAAAGCACATTTGTTTGATAGTTGTTAGTTATTTTATTTGTTTTGGTGGTACCAGGAATCCAATTCACCACCTCGCACTTGCCAGGCAGGTTACCTTATGTCACTGAGCTAGATCTGTGGCTTAATATCTTAATAGTCTTTACATTGCCGTCAAAAGAAAGTTCTGCAAGTTATTAGTACTAAAAGTTTAACTTTATATCTAAAAAATAGATAAAAAATAAGTCAGGGCATGGTAGCACAAGCCTATCATCTCAGCACTCTGGAAGGCCAAGGCAAAAGAATCCCAAATCAGAACTCAGTTTAGGCTACTAAATTATTGACACTTGTCTCAAAATGTAAAAAGGGCTGGGGATGTAGCTTAGTGCAAAAACCGTGGGTTCAGTCTCCAGTACCAGAAAAAAAGAGAATTCAAATAATAAAATGTAAAGGACAAAAAGAAAGCTCATTTGGAATAAGCAGGGTTTGCTTTTATCATCATGTACCTGATCTGGAAGCAAAAATTACTTCTAGGCCCTCAGAGAGAAAAGAAGCCACGTGGGTGGCACACGCCTGCCATCCCGATAGCCTTGGATGCTGGGGCAGAAAAATCACCGTGAGTTTGAGGCTAGTCTCCAAAAAAGAAAGAAAGTGGTTTCATTTTATGTGCTGGCGATGTAGCTCATTATTAGGGTGCTGTGTAGTGTATACAATGTACATGATTTAATCACTAGTATTGGGGGGGTTACAGGGTAGAGGAAAAAGGAAAGTTCTGGTAGGTTTTTATTTTATTCAGAAAACGTCCTCTTTGCTTGTGCCACTCAGCCCTTTTAAGTGAAGTACCTCGCTGTTTTAAAATTTAGGGCAGCAGCAATGACTCTCCGCACAGTATTATTGTCGTTGCAAGCACTGTTGGCAGCTGCAGAACCGGACGATCCACAAGATGCAGTAGTAGCAAATCAGGTAAGATGACTGCTTTTGAAAGAGTTCTTCATACCTATGTATGTCTCTCTAGTGGTTTACTGTGTTAACTGGAGCATACTCTTCAGAAGCTAAATTTGGAAGTGATTTTTTTCCTTGGAGTAAGATTATTTTGATGTAATTGTGAAAACTTAAAGCTTTGGGTTTTAAATATAGTAGTGTAATAAGGGGCTGGGGATTTAGCCCAGCGGCATAAGTGCCTGCCTTGCAAGTAGGCAGTCGTGAGTTCGATCCCCGGTACCGGTAAAAATGAAAAAGACAAAATAAATATATATATAGTAGTGTAATAAGATTCATGGTCTTTTTCCTAGTGTATGAGTTTCCAAATGCAGTCAGAAAAACAGTGTATTCGCATGTACCTCTTGTATAGATCCTCTGATTGGCACACACTATCATGTATGTATTGTCTCCTGTCCCTCCTGTCAGTCCTGATCTCTTCTGGTGTTAACTTTTAATCACTTCCTACTGTGGTACTGAAGTGACAGTAGCATTAAAGGTGACTTTCTAATTTGCTGAACATAATATTTTTCAGTTTTGCCCTTTAAGGCAAAAGATTAACGAATTGTAGCTCAGCTGACTTGTTTTGTAAATAATGTTTAAAACATAGCCATACCCACTTGTTTGCTTTCCAATAGCAGTGACATCATTTGTTTGAAAGATTTAGTGTCTGTCCCCTTAAGAAATACTCTGCCAACCTGTTCTCTACACCATTGTTTTACTCAGAATTTATTATGCTTTACTGAGCAAGCCTCCTCCCATTGTATGGTACTGAGGCCTGCGCCCTGAGCAGCATTCCCAAGCCCTTTTCAATTTTTTGATTGTTTGATGGCAACAGGATCCCCCTTGTGCAATCCAGGCTGCCCTTGATCTTAAGGCAGTCTTCCTGCGTTGAATCCCCCAAGTGCAGAGATTACAGGTGTATGTCATCATGCTTGGTCTTCTTTAACTTTTGCTTCTACCCGGATGTGGTGGCATATGCCCATAATTCCCCTACGTGAGAGGCTGAGGCAGGAGGGTTGCTGTGAATTGGAAGGCAGCCTGAATTACAGAGCAAGGCTTTGACTCAGGAAACAAAACAAACACCTTTTTTAAACAAGGTCTCACTAAATTACTAATGCTGGGAATAAATTTGCCATTCTGTATCAGCCTCCCAGGATGCTGGGATTATCTTCAGAATTATTTCTTACTTTCTACAGTGTTTTTACTTTTTCCTCTTAACTGTAATTAATTGATTGTGAAATTGTTTCTTTATTTTCCATTATATACTCACTTGATTGATTTTTTTATTTTTTTATTTTTTTAGTACTAGGGAATCAAACTCACAATCCTGCGCTTGCCCAGGCAGGCACTTATACTGCTGAGCTAAATCCCCAGCCCTCATATCTTCATTGATACAACCTGTACATTAATAAGATATACAGGTTTGACTTTTTAACACAAAAGCATATTGGCAACTGCATAGCTGTGTGTGGATGCTCATTTGGTAGTTCAGTATAGAGTTGCTAAAAGTGAATGTGGAACTTTAAACCACTTCCAAATTTTCATATTTAGTTGAGGTTCAATTTAAAGCTTTCTTCTTCTTTTTTTTTTTTTTTTTTTTTTTGGTACCGGGGATTGAACTTGCCAGGCAGGCGCTTGTGCCACTGAGCTAAATCCCCAGCCCCTAAAGATTTCTTTTACTACCTCAAGTAGTTCAATAATTTTACTTGTTTTCTTGTTATTAATTAATGATAGTAATTAGATTTGATATTTTACTATATCTTACAAACCCGTCAGCCTTAAAGTGTTTATATTTTGAAAAGAAATACTAAAGTAAATTGAACAAAAACTGTTTGATTTATACATTGTTTTACTAAGTTCATGGTTTTCCCAGAATGTTAGTCAACACGTAAGTGAAGTTTTGCCTTTTGAAAGTACTCTTACATGATTTCATGATCATCTCAAAACATGGTGTGAGTTTTTTTGCTTGGTTTTCCTTAAACACAGTTATAGGAAAATGGCAAGTTTTACTCTTAGTCTGGACTGTGGGCAGTACCCTATTCAGTCACATTTCTTAGCTAATACACAGTTTTATAGCAATTCTCTATTTAGTCAGTAGTGTTCGTTGCAGTTCACTGTTGGAAATATCTCCTCAGCTCACTTAATACTAGTTTTTTTCCTAATTGTATTTGTTGACTTTGGAAGTTAGAGTAGATTAACTTTTGGGATGCGGGTGCTACTGGAGATTGAGCTACATGCCTGGTTTGTGACACGCCCACTCCCCTTTGGAGTGAAGATAGAGTCTTACTGAATTGTCTCAGCTGTCTGGAAGTTGCAGTCCTGCTGCCTTAGCCTCCCAGAGTTCAGCACTAACCCTGGCTGGATTAACTTTGTCTTTACTTTTGTCAGTACAATTTGTTAATCAGAGCTTCACATTAACCACTTTTTTCCTGAATGACAAATGGCACAGCTTGTTTGCAATGAAAAATCAGTCACATTTTATTGTAATTTACTTTTGAGTGGTTACTACTCCTAGGGATTGAACTGACAGCCTTGCGCTTGCAAATAAGTACATACTGTACCACTGAGCTATCTATCTGTCCGCAGCTCCAGGGCATCACATTTTCGATATAAATTCCTTGCTTTTAGAAGAAACAGGGTTGGGGCTGGAGGTTTAGCTCAGTGGCATAAGCGCCTGCCTTGCAAGCAGGCAGTCATGAGTTTGATCCCCGGTACCGATAAAAAGGAAAAAAAAGACAAAAAAAAGAAGAAGCAGGGTCTTAGCTAATTAAGAGGAGCTACAGGATTGAGTATTACAAAATATAATGTCAATTGATTTTTTCCCCCCCTGTATAGTACAAACAAAATCCTGAAATGTTCAAACAGACAGCTCGACTTTGGGCACACGTGTATGCTGGAGCACCAGTTTCTAGTCCAGAATACACCAAAAAAATAGAAAACCTATGCGCTATGGGCTTTGATAGGGTAAGTACTTAACAGATTGTTTTATTTTGATATCTATATGTATGTGATATATTTGTTGATTTTTAAATTACTGCTCCAAATCTGTGGCTGGGAAAAGTGGTTTAACTGTATGAGAAACTCTTGTTACATAAATTAATTTGGCTATTAAAATCAGTACAGATTTTAAAAATTTTCTTTCTAGTTGTTGTATTAGATGCTTTTTATGCACTGCAAGTACAAGGTAATATATGGAAAAGAAACAGTATGATTTCTCAATATAAAGACACTGATTCAATATTTTTAAAAATGTTTCCTTGAGATTTATTATTTTTTCCCTCTTTCTTTCTGCAGAATGCAGTAATAGTGGCCTTGTCTTCAAAATCATGGGATGTAGAGACTGCAACAGAATTGCTTCTGAGTAACTGAGGCATAGAAAGAGCTGCTGATAGTCAAGCTTGCCTCTTCTCCAGGAGCATCAACATCTGTTATTTTTAGGATTCTGCATAGATTTCTTTTAAACTGGCATTCTTGCCTAATGATGTTATCTAGGCAACCATTGGAGACTGAAAAAAAATCCCTGCTCTGTAAATAAAGCTAATTAAACGTCTGTGTAAATTTAAAAAGGGGAAATACTTTTAATTTTTTTTCTTAATAGTGTAAAAATTCTTTGAGCTAAGCTAAAACCATGAAAAAACATGCTACTTTAGTGTTTAGCGGTGTAACAAGACTAGCAAGAGTTTGCTTCAGGACTTTGTTGAATAATTAAGATAATATTTTGAGTGTGTCAGGGCCATTCAAGTTGTCGGTGTTGCATCACAGCTACCTTAACTGTTTTTAACATGGATCCTCTGTGCCTGTGAATTTACTTGCATGCTTGTACTTGACTTCTTAGAATGGGTAGCTGAAAAGACCACCATTTTAAGCATTAGAAAATTCGTAAATACGAGATTTATTCAGAAACGAAGATGGTGACCTACTCAGAGCCTGTCCCAGCAGTTGACAGGTTGGGGCACTGTATCTGCTTTTCCCATACCACACACAGCTAATAATCTCATGGTAGATTTCTCTGGTTTTGGTGGGGAAATGTGCCAAGCAAAGTATCCCTGACTCCCTTTTTACATGAAGGGTTTGGAATGTTTTATCATAGTTCTTTAAACACTCAAAAGTTTCCCTCTGTAAGTAAGTAATGTATGAATGGAGCTGCCAATATTATTTCTCTTGCAAAAACAATAACTCGATGTTGCAGTATTCCCACGTACAATGAAGTGACAAGTGAGTTTTGCAATGAATTTGATTCTGGGTTTAAATTGATGAAATTTTTTTGAGAATGTTAAAGAATGCAGTCCACTGTTTCCAGTAGTTTTTAGCCTAATTTTGGGCTTTATGAAAATTGTTTTATCAGATTCCTTAAAAGCCACTCTTGCTTGCACTTCCCCATTTGACACGAGAGCTGTGTTGGTGTTTACTGTACATACTTCAGATGCACATAGGAATAGAAGTGTGTTATAAATCTAGCTTTCTTTATGATGTTTCTGAGAATGAGAATTGAAAACTTTACCTTCTCTTGTACATAGTCAGACTTTTTATTCATATTAAAGTTACCATTCGTTCTAAGTTCAAAAGTTTGAAAGTTAACTAGTTTTGCAAGCGCAAACACTTAATTTGACTATTTTATGAAGGTTGAAGTAGATTTATGCAGGCAATTCTATACATATAGATATAATTGTTATTAAATTTTGAGGACCAATGCAAAATAAGAAAAATAGAATCAAACTGATGTAAGGTTGTATTTTGAAAGTCATATTATAAAAGGTTTTCTTTAGTTAAGTGTTACTTATCGTAAATTGTTAAGTGTTTGGAAAGTAATTTTTGATCCTATTAAGTCAGTATAACTTCATTCAACCTTTCAATAACCTTGATGCTAGAAGCAATAAAAGAAACCAATATTAAAATACCATAATGTTAAAGATGTGAAGGTTCTTCCAAAATTTGCAAGGCTTTTCTAAGTAAAAGAAATCTCTTATAGTTGATATATTTATTACATACCAAACCCAAGATGGTATGTTTTTTCCCCCATGTCTGCTTAAGCATAATCACAGCCTTTAATTGTTGTAGTTATTTTCTAAAGAAGCCAAAGGAAACAAGATTTTTCTTTATTTATTTTAAATAGCTAAAATCTTGTACTTTTCGTTTTGAGGTATGGTGGGATTTTTGTGAAATTACGGACAAATTGCTCCTTGTTGGCTAGAATTAATTTTTTATAGTGGAGGGTGGCTTGGTAATATTAGTATATTTGGAGTAAATATCAAACACATCCTGTTTACTATTCACCTATATTATCAGGGTATATTTAATCATCTGTGGTTAGACAACAGAGAAAAAGAACTCAGTGGTTGCTAATGTCAAGCACTATACACTCCACCCTTGGAAGCAGCTCTGTCCTGCTCTGACTTTGATGCACACTGGTCAGGTGTCTCCTCATGTGACTGCGCTTCAGCTCCAGTGCCCAGGTCACTGGGAAGTATAGTGTTCAGTTTGACAGGATCTACATAATGAATTTTTCATTATAAAAATTATTTTCCTTATTTACCTTCAATGTGATAATCTTTATTTCCTTTCTGGTACATTTTCCACTGTCTTAGTTTTGTTTTCTTTTTCTTTTTTTCCTCCCCCTACCCCGTTGATACAGATTTAGCTCCCCAAACACAGAAGCTAAGGTATTTCTGTTTTCCTCTGGTCTTCAGTATGTTTGGAAAAAGGACACTAAAAGTTTTGGCCTAGAGAGAAAGTACCCTGGTGAAGGTTATTTTTATATTTCTCAGTGTTTTAGAGTTTTATCAATTTTAAGAATCCTCAGAAATTATGGTTAGGAAAAGAATTCTCATTTAGAGCAAGCAGATTTGCTGAAAGTCACTGATAACTCTGGCTTTATAACCAGTTCTCTTTCCTGAATATGTTCCTAACCTAGAAGAAATAACTAGTTGTACAGTCTATCAGTACAAATGATTGAATTGCAGTTTGAGACTCAGACATACAGTAGTACATAAATATTTCAGGAACTTGCTACTAAACTGGATGCTCTCAGTTAGCTCTGAAATTACGACTATGGTTTATCTAGACACAGAAAACACCTCCGAGATGTATATATTTGGAATCTTGAGTATTTTGTTTCTGAGAATAATAAGCTATATAGTGAAAATGAGATTTGAGGGGATTTGGGAGGATTTTTTTTTCAAAAATTTTCTCATTTATGATTATTGATGGCACTCAGAACTATGCAGAATAATTTTTTTTTAAGTATCTTTCAGAAAGAATTGGCAATTAAAGAGTTTGCTTGTGTGTGCACTACTGCATGCATACTCTTTAGGCTGCTTCCTAAGTTTGCCAGTGTGCAAGCAGATCTGGATGATAAGTTTATGCCTGATTCAAGCTTTTAAAATGCATTGGAAGTATGGTAATGTTTTCCTCATTCTATGTAGAAACAGGAAATAAAGAACTTTTGTTGTAAAGATTTAAGATGAATCTGGCACAAAATAGCTGGAGCCAGGTGTAACAGGAGGAAACAATACTGAGAAAAGAAAAGGAGTTTGTTTGTTTACAGTGAACTTTATTTCCTGAACTTTTCCAAACTGATGTCGTAGTAATCACTCTTTGTAGTTCCAGGATACAAACCATTGATCCCACAAAGTTGTATTGCTGTTCTTTTAGTACCAGTTGGAACACTTACTAGCTAGTTGGTGTCATTGTGAACATGGAACTTGAAGTATACTGATAAATAGCCTTTTTCCAAACAAAGTGTGGCTTCGCTTTAGAGTTTGCAGATGATGTCACACATTGTATTTGCAATATAGAGCAGAAGTTTCGTGGCATGGAAGGGTTGCTGTCTCCTTTGTCCTGCTTTGTTCCCGCTTTATTGAACTGATCTAATCTCATAAACCTGCATCCTCATCTGAAGGTGTAAGTTGTGAATGTGCCACCTTCTGCTTGGTTATTTCACCATGCTGCTGTCTGTAATCAGGTGTGGCACAGCTTACTGGTTTGAAGGTGAGTGGATAGAAGTCACTGCACTGTGCTGTGAATGATCCTTATCTGCTTGCTGTAACCTACTTTTCACAGGCATCATAATAAAAGCTAGACTATTTCTTTGGGGGAAAAGAGACTTATTTAATGTTATTTAAAGAGTTTTCCGATAGAAAATGAAATACTATTGAAAATAATCTATTTTTTAGCTTTCAGCAATTGATGGTGCTTTGTTGTGGTGTCCGCTGGAAGTTTACTGCCATTATAGGGATTCTCATTAACCTCACTGAGAAAGAACCTTGCTTGTTAGCTTCTCTAGATCTCTAAACAGTCTGTTAGTGATGATAAACTCTGTAGGAGGGTCTATTCTGAGCCATTAACTTCCTGTAAGGGGGAAATGGGTGGGTTACCAGAAATACCATTGAAGCAGGGTGGGCTGTGGGTGGAGGGTTGGGTATTTGTCTTGAGAATTAAAAACTACGAAACACTTTTGTACACAACTGATTTTTTAAAAAAAATAAATACATTTTTAAAGATGTTGAATTTTCCCCCCTTATTGGGAATTCTTAAAAATAAATGCATGCATGTTTTCCCCTGAAAATGGTTTATATCTTGTTTGTGGGCTGTCATCTCTGAATAATTAGGTCTTTGCATTATTTTAAATAAGAATTGGGTAGATAATTCTTGGCAGATTTCATACTGATGTGCATACTACCACTTAAATGATAAATTGTATCAGAGCTTTGACTTTGAAAACAGGTTGAAATTGTTTAGTTCTAATTAAACTTTTAAGTAGAACATTATTTGGTCAGGTTCTAACAGCATTAATTGTACTTGAAGCAGTGCTGTTGATCCTTTTTCCATACTGCACACAGATCTGCTCTTAGATGGTCGCAGAGTCCTGTGATGAGGCCTCTCAGTTGTCACAGAAAATCCTGGGTTTAATGATCCCCATTTTCACTCAGGATTGTAGAGCCAGAGCTTTTCTAAGCTTCGGTTTCTTCATTTGGGTAGAATATTTGCCCAGTATTTTATAACATTTAGGAGGCTCACATAAAATGATGGAGCTGTAATACAATTTTAACATGAAATCTTGGCTTAACTCGGGGAGGGTTCTTTTGTGGCCAGCCTGAAAGCACTGACCAGCAGGCTTGTTTGGAAGTGTGCTGGCATGGCAGAGCCGGTGTTCCTTGTAGGTCGTTGCAGAGTCTGAGGCTGGGGCTGCAGGTGTAGCTCACATACAAGCTTCAGTCCACAGGACCACTAAAAAATGAATTAATAACCATAATGTGGAGTCACCCATGGTTGCCCCGTCCTCTGTTCATACTGGTAATTAGCAGAGGCTGTCAGAATTCATCCTAGTGGTTTCACATGGCAACACTGATTACCTTTAGGGTTTTTATAACCACCTTGTAGCAGGCATATGAGATTCTGTTGCCTGGAGATGAAATTGCTCCTGACCTGGAACAAGGCGGGATGAAGCACCCTTTCTGTGTCGTGGGTAGTCGAGGATAGCCATGTGAGCCTCTTTCCCTAAGCAATGACACGTGGTCACATGGAAGCAGTGGGCGCTTGTCTTGCATACATGGTGGCACAAGTCTAT